AAGGAGATCTCACATTTTTCCTCTTCGTTGCATAAGTTCTAAAGAAGTTGTTTTAACTTTTAGACTATACGCTTATACGCAATGGATATTCTTAAAACGGGATGACATTTTTCCTTTTGTGGGGTCGAGCTCTTTTAGTGAGAACGAATTCCTTAGTTTAACCAAGGAAGATTTTTTTTTTCTTTCTTTTTTGTGATTTACTTTGGATCGAGACAACAAATGTTAGTATGTTATGGAGAATCTACGAGCCAATTGTAACGATTCCAATTATTTTGCAATCAGGGAATGAGATAGAGGTAGAGACGGAAATTGAAATTCTAGTTCATCCCGATGTTATTCCTAGTAAACGATCATCTTCGTAACGTCCAAAAATAGTTTGAAAATAGAAGAAAAAACTATTTGCCAATCTCAAACAATCATCACATGAATTATATTCTAAAGCAATTAAAAGGAAAAAAAAAGAAGAAGAAAATGAGTTATGTTCATAATAGTTTAGGAATGGTTGGGTGAAAGGGAATCAAACAAGCCACATGGGCAGGCAAATTCCTAGGTCAATTTAAGCAGTACCATCCCCATAAATAATTATTAAAAATATATTTTATTTTTACCCTATTGCCATTAACTTTTCTCCAAAGCAAATAATAATAATAATAATTCCCAAAATGCCATTTTCAATTAATTAGTGGGGCCCACAGAATGTCCAGTGAAAATCACTTTTTTTTAAATTATTTTATTTGACTATTATTTAAAATATATATATATATATAATTAAAAAAAAAAAAGACAAACAAACAAACATTATTCGGAACGCAACACAACTGCGATCACATTCATACTTCCGTCCCCACCTTTTCACTTGTGAGTATCACTGTTTTGTCACTGTGTTTTTTCCTCTTATCTATTTTTAAAAAAATTTAAATTATAAATATGGTTCATTTCTGAATTCAAAATCACCTTATTTACGCTTTTCAAATCTTATTTTTTAATTAAAAAAAATGTTCATAAATGTATAGACTTGTTAAAAGCTATTTTCAAAATTGTTAAATTCGAATTTAGAAAATTCCTAAATTTAAGATTTGATGTTAAAAATAATTTCTAAAATTGTGCAACTACAAACACAAAATAACTTCCCTATACAATTGTTACATGTCTCACTTACAAATTTAGAAAACTAATGCAATTTTGTCTTTTAGTTAAAAAAAAATAATTAAAGTAATTAATTTTATATATTAATCCAACTTTATGAATTGATTGATTTGATAAAATTAATACTTAGCCATATAATTAATCGATATATTATATAAACTCATCCGTAATTGAATAAAAATATAATAATAATTAATAACTTTATATGTAGGTTAGATATTTAAAAAAAAGAAATTAGTAGGGATTGTTTATTTGCCATCATAACAAGTAAAAGAAAATTCCAATATCCCCACAGTATTTATTCGCTTCCTTCACAATTAAATACACAAAATTACTGATAGGATAGAAAGGCTTGAAAGGATACACAAAAAAAAAAAAAAAGGCTTTTTATTTATTTATTTATTTTTAGAGACAATTTGTCAAACATTTAGCAGTAGACACTAAAAATCCTTGTTTCTTATCTTATCCTACTAAGCCTTACATTAACATTAACATTAACATTTGATTAATTAAATTAATTAAATTAAATTAAAAGAAAAATAGAAAATGGAAGCGCGAGGTTTGAGAATCTACTTGCAAATCTTCTCTACAGTTGTCTTAATGAATTCCCCAAAATGATGCCTTCAAATTCATTGCCAATTCTTCTCTGTTTCCTCATTTCCCATCTTTCTTTCTTCTACTTCTCTCATGGCGGCTTCCAGTTCCGTCCAGGTTAAGCACGTCCACGTCATCACTCCGGCCGACCCCCCTCCACCGTGTCTCCTCCCCCTCTCCGCCATTGATTCTCAGCTCTTCCTTCGCTTCACCATTGAGTATCTTCTCATTTACACTCCCTCCTCTGCTTTAGATCGCTCCACCATTTCTTCCTCCTTTCGAGCCGCTTTGTCCCAACTTTTGGTTTTCTACTTCCCTCTTTCCGGTCGGGTTCGGGAGAGGCCCGACGCCTCTGGTCTCGACGTTGTTTCTCGATCTCAGGGCGTGCTTTTTCTTGAGGCTGTTTCGGATTGCTACTCGGCGGCGGACTTCGACCGCCCGCCACGCTCTGTCGCCGAGTGGCGGAGGTTTTTGGCGTTTTCTGTGGAGGATGTTTTGGATGGATCTCCACCCTTGGTTGTTCAGCTGACGTGGCTTAAGGATGGAGCGGCGGCGGTTGGGGTTGGGTTTAATCATTGTATTTGCGATGGAATTGGCAGCGCCGAGTTTCTCAACTCCTTTGCGGATTTGGCTGCCGGGAGACTCCGCGCCGCCTCTGAGTTGAAACCGGCTCCGGTTTGGGATCGGCATCTACTCAATCCGCAACCCCAATTTTGCCACCGTCGGTCTTCATCTCCGCCGCCGGAGTTCCAGCGTGTACCCGATCGCTGCCGGTTCATGTCCCGGTTTACTGACGAACCGCTTGTTCCCACTGCTGTTACGTTCGGGAAAACGCATCTCACGCGCCTCAAGTCACTCGCTCACTCCACGCGCCGCCCTGGTGTAGCGGCGTTCACGGCGTTTGAGGTTCTTGCTGCTCATATATGGCGGAGCTGGGCTAGATCCCTGAAGCTCCCTTCGAATCAAACGCTGAAGCTTCTCTTTAGCATTAATGTACGGAAACGGATCAAACCGAATCTCCCGGCTGGTTACTACGGCAACGCCTTCGTCCTCGGCTGCGCTCAGGCCACCGCCGGCGAGCTGGCGGAGAAGAAACTGGACCATGCCGCCAGTTTAGTGAAGAAGGCGAAAGAGAGAGTCGGAGACGAGCACGTGAGACACGTGGCTGAGTCAGTGAGAGAGTCGAGGGCGTGTCCAGACTCGGTTGGCGTCCTTGTACTTTCCCAATGGTCAAGGTTGGGGTTAGAGAAGGTTGACTTCGGTATGGGTCGGCCGGTTCATGTAGGCCCGGTCTGTAGTGACCGGTACTGCATTTTATTGCCGGTTTACAATCAGACGGACGCTGTAAAAACGATGTTGGCGGTCCCCACGTCGGCCGTTGACAAGTATGAATCACTGGTCAGAAACGTGGCCACGTGAACTCACTGGATCGTGACACGTGGTGGAGTTGACTTGTAAAAAAATGTTTGACTCCTGTTTTTTTTTTTGCGTTCTGATATTTTTATTTATTTAATTTTTTTTTTGTCCTTCCATTTTACTACTTTCCTAATATGCCCCTCGGAAAAATGCCACGTGGATTCCACGATAAGGAAAAGTTTTGTCGATGTGTTTTAAACCCGCTGTCCTAACTTTGGGCGGCACAACGTGGCCGCTTGGATGCCCTCCTCTTTTTACTGTTTATCCAAATCTTTTCCGTAAAAGATTTAATAATATAAACACAAAAAGAAAAATGAAAACTAAATACCAAAATGCAAATAATTTAAATAAACTAATTATTTTGTACCCATTTAAATGTTCGAGTTGGTTGGATTCGTAATCCTTGACTCTAAAATAAAATATATTAAAAGTTTACAAATAAACACAAATTAATCTGTAATTATTTAAGTAAAAACACTATAATCACAAAAATATATAATATGTTTTATAAAATTTAATTAGTTTGAGTCTAATTGAGAGACTTTTGTTGAATGAACCTCAAACCGAATCAAATCTATTCAAGTTTAGAAAATTAATTCAACCCAATCCAACCCTTATAATTTGGAGTAGGTCGATTCAGGTTGTCGGGCCAATATACACCCGTGTAAAGTATATTATTGAAATGTATATATATAAATAAATCATAATTTTTATATTATTGATAAAAGAAACTATGAATAAAATATTAGCATTATATTCTCATTCCCGATGATCGGGTTAGAAGCACATAGACTTGACCAAATAAACTCCAAAACCCCAATAAAAAGGAACAAAAGAAACACAACCAATCAAAACAGAACACAGAGAGGTTTAATTCGTTGGACGACAATTTAATGTCCTAATAATGTCTAGAGACATTTTTCAGGGTGGAAAGCCAACGGCCCGGCGGAGTAAACCGCCGCCCGATACTTGGGGCCGACGACGAACTTCTTGTCGTATCGGAGCGGCGCTCCGGCAATGCCGTAGTTGAGATTGGTGAGAAGGTCACAGTCGGACAGAGGAGAAGAAATGGGCTTGACTTTGCAGGCTTGCAGCGGGTGGTCAAGAACCGGGTGGGGCATTTTGTAGCCCACTAACTCGGCGTAAAAATACCCATATTTATCGGTTTCGTACACCTTGTAGAAGCTCACTTGGTTGTTGTGATTCTTGCAAATCACGCTGATTTTAGCACCGGCGATCGCCTTGGCGCCTGTCAGGGACCAGCTTCCGATTTTCTGGCAGTTTTGGCAGTACACCATGCCCTCCACGGCGATAGCCACTGGCTTGGGGGTGGGTCGGGGTGGGTTTGCGGCGGCGATGTGGAGGAGGAGGAGGAGGAGGGAGAGGGAGAGGAGGCTTTTGGCTGCCATTTTTGTATTTTCTTTATGGGGTTTTTGTGTTCTTGATGTTGGGGTGAAGGGAAATTGGAAATGGAGATGGGATTTATATATTTGAAGGAATTGAGACATTTGAAGACGTGGGTGCAACCAATCTGACACCAATTTTGTTTTTTGATTGTACGTGAGAGCCACTTCGATTTGTGATGAACACAATGATTAATCATTTTTTGATCTTTTCTTATTAATCTTTCAATTTATTGATTTGTTTGGATTCATCGTGTTGGATTGATCGGGAAGAATTAATCAAAGTCTTGTATGATCGTATTCTAACTTAATTATTAACGAATTAAGATACATCGACACAAATAGAGAATCACATCATTTCGTTAATGAATTATGCCGTTAATCAAATCAAATCAAAGTCGTTTTTGAATAACCAAGAACAAAAAAAAAGTTAAAGGAGCCTAAAACTTGTAATTTGTATGTAAATATATATATATGTATGTATATGAACTATCTCACATATATACAAGCAAAACCTCTAAAGTGAAGATATCCACAATATGATCCAGCAGAAAACTAGACATGATACAGAAGAAGTTCTGCTCATACTTGCAACAACAATCGAGATTCGACACCTTATCGTCCTTCCGACACAATCTCGAGCTCAGCCCACCAAAGAGGAGAAAGCCTTGGGATCGCTTCATCTGGGGTTATCCCAGTTATTAATCTCAACCTTGCAGCGACGAACTTCATCGTTGGTCTCTGCTCTGGATCGGAAAGTAAGCATGCTTTTAGCAACTGACCGATCTGCTCCAACTGCTCCTCTTGGAACGATACGAGAGTCGGATCGACAAGGTCCTTAAGAAGTTGGTCGAATCTTAAGTATTGTATTGCCCATTCTTCAAGTGAACCATTTTCTTCTGAATGGGGAATTCTACCTGTCATTAGTTCTAACAATACTAACCCAAAGCTGTAGATTTGGCTTTCTGGACCTCCTGACGAAGTGTTTAAGAGATGTCCGCTCGTGTAGTTCCGGACCTCTGCAACGATTTCGTTTTGTAAACTGCATTCGGCAATCTTTGCTGCATAATCCTCGGTCAGATTGACAGCGGATGATGTAAGGTTGAGTTGGATTAGTGGCGCGGTCTGCTGCTCGTGCAAATATTCGAGGCAGTAAGTCATGCCCATTGCTATTCTCATTCGCATTTTCCAGTTCAAGTGCTCGAATTCTTCATCTGCAGAGCAAAAGAGAACGAAAAGACTCGATCAAATTTCTATCGAAACTATAGTATTGCTCGAATCGAACGTGGCCGTGATTACAAATGTGACGAAATGAACTCCTATGTGATCCTCATATATGGAAGGAATAATAACATAGAATAATCCCAAATAGTGTTTATCGTGAATGAATGATATTTAGCATTCTAGCCTCATCAACATAGTGCTGTTAAGAAACACGAGCCTCCACAATGATATGATATTATCCACTTTGATGAAAGCTCTCATGGGTTTGTTTTTGTTTTTCCCGAAAGGCCTCATACCAATGGAGATGTATTACTTACTTATAAACCCATGACCATCCCCTTAATTAGTCGATGTGGACTCCCACCCAACAATCCTACCGTCGAACTAAGTACACCATATAGTCTCCCCTGAGGCATATAGAGCCCTCGAACAACCTCCCCTTAATTGAGACTCAACTCCTTTCTCTGGAGCCCTCGAACAAATACACCATTTGTTCGACACTTGAATCACTTTTTAACTATACCTTTGAGGATTTTATTGACATGACTAAGTTAAGAGCACGGCTCTGATACCATGTTAGGAATCACAAATCTCCACAATAGTATAGTATTATCCACTTTGAGCATAAGCTCTCGTGACCTTCCTTTTGGTTTTTCCAAAAAGCCTCATACCAAGGGAGATATATTCCTTACTTATAAACCTATGATCATCTCCTTAATTAGTCGATGTGAGACTCCCATCCAACAATCCTCAACAAGTGCAACTCCAACCAGAAAACCGCAGCAACAATAGTAAGTAATTAAGACAAACGTAAACACTTCTCAGTATAACAGAGAATTCGACTTGGTTTTTCCACTATGCCCACGAGCTATAGACATGGACAGTTTCACAGCTAAAACTGACTACATTTGCATATAAGCATATCAAGCTGATTATAGCTCGTGCCTGATACTTACCATGAAGATGTTCAAACAGCGTTCCGTTCGGAGCATATTCGAAAACCATCATTCGACTGAAGGGCTCCTCTTCCTCGCAATACCCAATAAGGTTGACGAAGTTCTTGTGATTTACCTTCGACAGCGTATCGATCTACAACGAGGTAATACACAATGTTAGAAACATCAGACTTGACAAAGAGGAAATGTGGGTCAGTGGGATTCAACTAGCATCTATACCTTTTTCCTGAACTGAGTTTCCAACGCCATTGACCAATCTTTAGAAGACTTCACTGAAATGACGTTCACAGCTATCTCAACCCCGCTCGACAACGTCCCTTTATACACCGGACCAATGGGTGAATAACCGATTACGTTACTGAAATCCTCACAAGATACTTCAAGCTCAGATTTTTTCAGCTTTGGCACACCTGAAAACATATCCCACAAATTAACAACAAGAATATGCTGCTGCCATAAACACTTTATCTAATTTATCCATGTGAAACCCATTAAACAGCCTAAGAGATTGATCTTCCTGTTTCAACTAAAGCAAGCCTAATCAGTTTCAAATTGGTATATCCAACAAGAAAGCAAAACTAATGAATGAAGAATACCAGTAACGAATGCTTTCTGAAGCTGTCCGCTTAATCCCGTTGCCCATGGCTTGACAGTGGCTTTATTGCTGGTCCAGAAGTAAATGGCAACGGCCAATGCGATAATGAATATGGCAGCCCCTGCACTTGCTCCTAAAACTACACCGAGTGAAGATGATTTATCGCTTTTTTCGGGTGAGTTTGAAGAAGGCGGTGGTGGAGGTAACACCTTGGGTGTTTCTGGTGGGGGGGTTGGAGGAGATTGCTGGGACGGTGGAGGTGAATTGTTTCCATTTGAGATAGATACATTGGTAGGTGGTGGTGGTGGTTTTGGAACACTTCCATTCGATGATGACACTTGAGTAACTTTAGCATCTGCATCTGTAAGCTGCAGTGTGGACTGTATTTGAGTAGCTGGCACTCGAAGCTGTCGTCTTCCTCTACTTTCTTTTATTTGAACATCATCACTAGCAAAAACGAAACATATAAATAAATTAAGCTGTTTCTCAAACCATAAACATCGACAAAACAACGATTTGATTTCAAAAGGACATGTTTTCGAAGGAAGTCATCCATGATTGTGCACAAAAAAGTAGTTCTTCATTTCAATAATCCACAAGAAAAGCAAATAACATTTCCAGTCATGGAATTTGTCTTCCAGTTCTTCCAAAATTAACCAAAACGTGCATAAGGTTCATCCTATTCAGTTAGGATCGACCAGTGATCAAATGAACCATGATGACATACCATGAAATCGATTTCTTGTTGCATAATGGCCCTTCAGCTGTATTCGAAAGCTGGTTTTCATCAACTTGAAACTCCGAAAGTAATTGAAGCTGATGAATTTCAGGAGATAAGCTAACAAGATGCTTGTTGTTATCCAACAGACTGCACAGATTTATACATAAAAAAAACTAAGTTATTAAAGGCTTAGCGAAAAAGCTAACTCTCAAATTGTTGTAGCCAAAACATACAGAATTCCCAGTGAGAGATTGGTGCCAAGATCAGTTGGAAGTGGCGCACAGAAGTTGTTGTATCCTAAATCTAGCTCCTCCAGTTCTTCAAGTCCTCCTAATCCATCAGGGATGGTTCCAGTGAACGAATTGTTTCGCAAAATACTGCACGACGAGGTAGAAATCGAAGGTAAAACCGCGGTTAGCTGTTGCAGCTAGAACAAAACACAACCAAGAAAACACAAATTGAGATCAAAGAACTAAGTTCTTACATAGATTTTATATGGATTAAGTTCTTGAGCTCAGGAGCAAGTGTTCCTTCAAGACAAAGATTCTGCAAATTCCTGCATATCATATAATTCTACTTCAATATCATCTTCAGAGGGAAGGGGAGCAGGAACAGGATCAAAAATGAAGAACATACAGGGAAATAACTTTGCCATCTGAACATTCAACTCCAAACCAAAAACATGGATTAATATCTTCTTTGTGATCATTCCAATTTGACAAAGAATCAAATGGATCATTCAAAACTCTCTCTCTGAACTTGAGAAGAGTCAAACCTGCCCAAGAACAACACACAAAGCAACTCAAAAACCCTTCAAACTTTCATCAAAACAGGGCATTAAAATGGTTAAGAACTCACCTTCTTCATTCAGCGACCAACACAAATGAAAACTCTGAAACAGAAGACTCGTTACAACCAACCCAAAAACCCGAAATCGAAGCCTGAAGCGATGAAAACTCGGATTCTCAACCTTACCCATTTCAATCAAAGCAACGAAAGCCAAAACCAACACAAACCCAATAGAGTTTTCAAGCACCAAATGAGTTCAAAACGTCAAAATGAGCACAACAAAATGGGAAAGGATCAAAAGGAAAATGGATGAAACAGCGTTCTAATCAAAGAAAGCTAAAGCAAACCAGCCAACCACCAACGAAACTTCAAGTTAAAACGCGTAGTCCATTTCTATTTCATCTTTGCACAGAGATTTGGAATTTTTGAGGGCGAAAATAACACATGCGGAGAGAAAATCAGCACGCCGCCGCAAGAAGACAAGTGGGAAGGACCGAGTCTAAATTTCAGAAACAGAGCCGGGCGGGCGGGCGGGCAGGCGGGGGGGTGAGCATTCAAGTGAAACGACAAACGAAAGCTGCCTTTGGATGGTGGCAATGGCATATCATTTTCCCTTTGACTTCGTCAAATCCCATTCTTCTTTATTAGTTGACTGACTTCCAATATACGTATTTCTCCTCTTACATTACCCATTTTAATTTAAATTTTCTTTTTAATATAATTTTAAATCAAAATTTATTTATTTTCCTTAATAAAAAAAAACTTTATTTGTAAGATTACTTCAAACCACAATAATTCTCATTTTAAAAAATGGAAATTGACTTAATTAAAATAATATTAAAAAAAACATTAATCAATAATTATTCTTCTCTATATTTCTTTTATAGTACAAGGTAAGAAAATTCTTTAAGAAATTAAATAAATGTCAATTATTAGATGATATTCTATAATTATTTAAATCATTTAGCTAGAAAATAAAAATGGATTATTAAAGATTTCCATTTTTAAAATAAAATTACTTTAAATGGAAAAAAAAATATTGGGTAATTTCATACATCATGGACTTTTATTTAAAAATTAAATGATTTTTGGGTATTATTTTTAATTAAATAAAGTTGAGTATCTTTCCTGGAAGTTTCCTGCCCCGAATTATTAATTATATTATAGATTAAATAAGATGGTGGTATTAGTAAATCCAAGCGGGCTAGGACGAGTTCATAATATAAAATTATAAAATTATAATATTTTTAATTATTGTCTTATTGATTCTAAATTAGGTGAATCAGATTTTTTTATAGGAAAAAATTAATTAAAAAATAATGAGTTATTACTTTACGAGATTTTTGTATTAAAGAAATAAAAAGTTAAAATTGCTTCAAATTTAATTTAAATTTTGGCTATTGTGGATGTCCCACTGTTCCGTAATTTACAAACCAAAATAATTTTTAAAATATATTATATTATATTATTAGTTTAGTTAGACTTGTATCTGATATATATCAACAATTTATTTATTTATTTATTTTATATCTAAAAAATTTAAAATTTTTAAAAATATAACTAAACCTAATTTATTTAATATTCAAGGTATGATTATGTCTAATTAGATATAATTATAAAATTATGAGGCCATTTTTAAAGTTACTATTTTTGAACTTCTAAATGATATAAATTTGTTGTTTACCCCCATTAATTTAGTTTTTAATTCGTCTTGTAAGACAATTAAGAGGTGTTTATATGATTTCATGTCAGTTCATAGGTTGACATTTTTTTGTCGAGTCAACCTGATTGATTTCAAAACGTGGTTATAACTCAACCCGACACTACTCGATAGTAGTGATCATTATGAAGCTTAAAAATATTTTACGTCTATAATCGATATTAATGATGCACTATGATTTATTGAATGTTTGATATTTGAATTTTACGAGTTTTAATCATTAGTAAAACATATATTGTGATTAAGTAAAATAATAATAATAATAATATTTTAATCTATCTTAAAAATAGTGATGTGAGCTACTCGGGTCACCAACCTAATCAACGGAAAATTTTATTTGTGTTTATAAAGAAAAAAAAAAAAAAAAAGAGGGTTGGAAATTGATTTAATGATGGCAACAAAATGGTAAATTGATAAGTATTTGATGGGGAAAGTCAAATCCTATCCACATTAAATATCATTAATATTTCTATCCAGGTTTTCTATATTTTGAATGGTTAATATTTAAATTAATGACAGCCGACTTATTGTTGAGGTTTGACCAAGTCTTACTCGATTCACAATTGAATATGGAAATTGTAAGATTATCTATGCGTTCAATGCTGACTAGGACGCAAAATTCTCCTATTTTATTTTATAAACAAAAATTGGTATAATTATCTAGATTTTTAATTAAATTGAGAGTGTATTGAATTATATGGAAGTATTATGCATCATCTTATTGAACCATAATTCTAACGTTAGAACGTGTGCATATTGTATGTTATATGATCACACGTTATGTACGAATGCATGCATCACAGCACCATTTACATTTTTTTTTTTTTTGTTAGTTTTGGGCACAATGATCTGCACTAGCCTATAGTCAGGTCTAAATGGTTCATTAAAGTGATTGCCTAATAAGTTCATGCACGTGTGCATAAATTGTGTGTAGATAAATAATATGCATCCATCCTTGCTCAAAAAAGAAACTAAAGCCTAAATAACAAACTTATACCCTACCAATCATGATATATATTATATATGAATTCATATTTCGATTTCAATGATGTAGTCCCTTACTGAGAATTTTTAAATATTCAGCACATTATACAAATTATGATATTTGTTGAAAAGATCATGGAATAAAGCCATAGACACTTTATTCTCCAATATAGTCATATTTCCCGTTAAGATAGAGTAATAATGTATATCAGTTTTGAACTATTTTTAAGAGATCGTTAAACTTTAGTATCGATATGGATGACAAGTTTATGTATATTTAATTCTATGACAAATTTTAAAATAAAATTTTTTTAAATAGTTTTTCGACCAAGAAAAAAAAAAAGAAGAAATTTAATCAAATTTGATGGGCTCCATCAAAAAATGGATAAAGTGGAAGGTGTGCTTTTGTTAACAAATAGATAATATTCAAATAATATTTTAAAGAAAAAAAAAACATAAACGATAATATGTGGGCTAATAATAATACTAAATAAAACCACTTAACATTCTAAAATGACCCACTTGGCTTCTAAAAAGTATTTAAAAATTATAGTGTTTTTATTTGGTACATCCACATAAATTGTGTAATTAATAAATTTTTGTTGAATTTTAGAGTATTTGTTTAATTGTTCTTATGAAAAGAGTATAACATTTTTTTCATGACAAATAAAAAAATGACTCAATTATATGTTTTGAAAGAAAATGATCAAGTTTGTTGAATGATATGAAAAATAGTGAAGAAGAACCATAGTATATGCTCTAAAATCCTCTATTAAATGAATAATTAAAAAAAAAAAAAAAGAATAGTAGAATTATCAAATTAATCCGAGATTAAAAAGTGTTGTTATAATAGTAATTATTATTATTTGTTCAATTTTACTTGAAATTCATGTAGGTCGGTATAGCTTTGAGATTTTCCTCCTAAGCCCGTGGGCTCAAATATTAGGTGAAGCCCAAAATGGAGACCCACATGTGTGAAGAGCCCAACACTAAAGCCCAAAAAAGAATCACATGTTGAAGAGCCCAACGCTGAGAGGCCCAATTTTAGGGAAATGGTAACAGATGTATACCTTCTAATAAAAGAAAGCTTCAGTGTAGGTCTAGGGTCGGGTCGGGTCGGGTCAGGGATCAGGGTCAAGACGAGAATGACACAAAATTAAAAAGAAAAAATTAAAGAAATTTTTTTAAACTATAACAAGTATGAATGTGAAAATAAAGATTTGAACAAAATTGGAATGTGAAATTAAGTGAAAAAGTTAAAAGGCAAAAATTGAGGGATCCTATTAGGGATATGAAATTGAAATTTAGGGAACAAAACTTTTTAAAAATTTGTAAATTTAATGTGACCAAAAATTTTATTTGACTCTAAAAAAAACATACAAAATCAGAATCAAACAAAGGAAAGGAAAGAAAAATTAAATCTCTCGGACGCTAAAAGAAAAACATACAGAGATCGAAGATTTCAAATTCTCTACCATTTTACAATTACAATCAAATCTAAACTAAACTAAACTAAACTAAACTGTGTTACAAATTTCCATGGAAAATGGTTAATATCATTATTGATTTTATTTGTTTGATCCTTTATTTAAAATCTATTGATCAGTGTGTTAAGAACCTGTGTTTCGCAGCCGAATCGATGAACACGAAGGGCACCGAATCAAGCCATTGATGTTGCAAGCATTGCACGTTCTGAATCCGAGTCTCTTGACGTAGATCTTGTGGCTTCCATCGCAATCTTCGCAAACAACGAATCGAATCCCTCCGCAAATCTCGCAAGACCTCGAAACCGCCTCCGGAAGGCCGTGGATGAGTCTCTTCAACTCACCGTTCTCATTCATCAACCTGATTTCATCGGCTCCACCAATGTATCGTCCGCCGATGAAGACTCTAGGTAGAGTAAGATTCTTCTGACCGATCGCATCCTGCAACTCGTCGAGGAAACTAGAGTCCATGGAGAGATCGCGCTCGTCGATCGGGACGCGGAAGCATCTGAGAATGGATCGGACGGCGCGGCAGTCCTCGAAGGTGCGGCGGACGACGCGAAGGGAGGTGTAGTAGAGGACGATCCGGTGGTCGGAGTCAGGGATGAGGCGGTGGGACCAGGAGCGGAAGAGGGAGGTGGAGAGACGGACGCGGTGGAAAATGGAGGGCTTCTTGGGAGTGTTGGGAGGGGAATCGTAAACAGAATCTTCGCGACAGAGGTCTTGAATGTCTTTGAAGGAAGAACAGGAGAAGTGGCGATGATTTGGCTTGGCCGGAGATTGGACTCTGGCCGGCGAACTCAGCCATTGAGACCACATGGAGAGAAACACAGTGTGGCACAAGGGGAGAAGAAGGGGCAGTATTAAGTAAAGGCGAGAGAGATTCAATGTTTAAAGATAATATAATAAAATTACGAAACCCTAAATCAGAAATTTGGGAATTTGGGAATTTGGGAATTTGGGTGTCTTTTTAAAAGGAATACTATAAATTCACGAGTTTTATGTCCAAATAAGTATCTAAACTATAATAAAATTTAAAATTCTAACCATTCAAATTTTTTTTATAATAATTCCCAAATTTTAAATGTGCAGTAAATTTAAAAATTCCAATTTTGTGTATAATATATAATTATGATTTGAATCCATTTAAGGTAAATATTTTAAAAAGTTGAGTAAACTAAATTTATGAATTAATTATTTTTAAAATTTGAAGATAAAGCACCTCTTTGCTGACGAAGTTATCTTTTTTGTTATTTTGACCGAAATGGTAATTTTGAAGTGAAAATTCGGTATTTAAATTTATACCAAATTTTGCTAATTAAATTAAAAATCGGGTTGGTTTAATATTTTGCAGAATTATTCAAAGATCGGACCCAATTTATGATTTTATAA